CTTCCAATCAAAGAGCATGGAATATTTTTCCTTTTTTTTTTTTTTTGTGGGTCTTCTTCAATTTCTTAAATAAGCCTTCTATAGTTTTCAGTGTATAGATTTTTCACCTCTTTAGTTAGGTTTATTCCTAGGCATTTTATGGTTTTGGGTGCAATTGTAAATGAGATCGATTCCTTGATCTCTCTTTCTGATGCTTCATTATTGGTGTAGAGTAATGCAACCAATTTCTGTGCATTTATTTCATATCCTGTGACTTTGCTGAGTTCATGGATCAGTTCTAGCAGGTTTTTCATGGAATCTTTGGGTTTTCCATATAGAGTCATCTGCTAAGACTGAAAGTTTGACCTCCTCCTTGCTGATTTGGTTGCCTCTAATTTCTTTGTGTTGTCTGTGTTCTTTGTGTTGTCTGATTGCTGAGGCTAGGACTTCCAATACTATGTTGAATAACAGTGGCAAGGGTGGACATCCTTGTTGTGTTCCTGACCCTAGGGTGAAAACTCTCAGTTTTTCCCCACTGAGGATCATATTAGCATTGGGTCTTTCATATGTGGCTTTTATGATCTTGAGGCGTGATCCTTCTATCCCTAGTCTCTTGAGGGTTTTTATCTAGAAAGGATGTTGTATTCTGTCAAATGCTTTCTCTGCATCTATTGACAGGATCATGTGGTTCTTGTCCTTTCTTTCATTATGTGGTGTACATCACACTACTTGATTTGCAGATTTGAACCAGCCCTGCGTTCCAGGTATAAATCCCACTTGATCATGGTGAATAATTCTTTTAGTGTATTGTTGGATCCAGTTGGCTAGTATCTTGAGAATTTTTGCATCCCTGTTCATCAGGGAAACTGGTCTCTACTTCTCCTTTTTGGAATCAAGGTAATGCTGGCCTCGTAGAATGAGTTTGGAAGTTTTCCTTCCATTTATATTTTTTGGAACAGCTTCAAAAGAATAGGTGTTAATTCTCTTTAAACCTTTTGTAGACTTCCCATTGGAAAGCCATCCAGACCTGGACTCTTGTTTTTTGGAAGATTTTTGATTACTGATTCAACTTCTTTACTGGTTACAGGTCTGTTCAAATTTTCTATTTCTTCCTGTTTCAGTTTTGGTAGTTTATATAATATTTCTAGGAATTTGTCCGTTTCTTCCTGAACAGTGTTGTTTTAATTTTAATTTAACTTTCGGGGCATCTGGGTAGCTCTGTCAATTAAGCATCCAACTTCAGCTCAGGTCATGATTTCATGGTTCATGACTTTGAGCCCCACATTAGGCTGTCTGCTGTCAGCATAAAGCCCACTTCAGATCCTCTGTCTCCCTCTCTCTCTGCCCCTCCCTCTCCTTCTCTCTATCTCTCTATCTCTCCCCCCAAAATAAATAAACATTAAAAACTTTTCATTTATTTTTTTTATTTTTTTAATGTTTGGGTTTTGTTTTTTTATTTCTAGGAGAGAGAGAGAGAGAGAGAGAGAGAGACAGCGTGAGCAGGGGAGGGTCAGAGAGAGAGGGAGTCACAGACTCTGAAACAGGCTCCAGGCTCTGAGCTGGCAGTCAGCACAGAGCCCGACGCGGGGCTCGAACCCACGAACCGCGAGATCATGACCTGAGTGAAAGTCGGACGCTTAACCAACTAAGCCACCCAGGCGCCCCTAAAAACTTTTAATTTAATTTTAAACTAGATGTAAAATTACCATGATCTCCTTCCCCCTATCACTGCCAGGCAATCAGTTACCACAGCTAATAAAAACCTGGCATACACACTGGGTGTTATATGGAAACCAACTTGACAATAAACTATTTGTAAAAAAAATAAAATAAAATAAAAAATAAATTAAAATTTTAAAAAACCTGGCATACAAAAAATTCTAAAATGAAAAGATTATTGAAAACCTTTCGTTTCATACTATAACTTTTAGATGCAAAAAAAATTCATAGCTATCAAATTTTGATTATAGAAATATAGAACAGGGATATATTCTATCTAAAATTATATATATAACATACATTTTTTAAAGTAGCCTGTTACTGTTATCAAATTCTTTGCTGAGCTCTTTAAAATATATATGTAATATAAACACATACATATTCCATCTAAGATAATTTCATGCAAGAATGTTCACAGTTATGAAACAGTTGATCAGAATCATAAATCTGAAATACACACACAACAACTTTCTCCTGACCTAGACCTACTCAGGAAAAAAAAAAGCTTAAGAACCTTACCCACTGTTGAAGTTCAGGCAACATTTTCTCTACAAAATCTTTATCACCACTTGTCAAATCAGTTCTATCCAACAGGTAAAATAATGCCCTACCTTAAACTCCCTGCTCTCAAAGCTGTAAATTTAAGGTATCATTTACCTTAAAAACCTAAAATATACCAAGTTTCCTTTTGGAATACATCATCCCAAACTTAGAGCTACTTTGAAAAATTAACATGCGAGAGTTTGTGACTCTAAAATATTTTACAGTATTTTTTAAAGAAGATTCTAAAGGAAAGTCAGAAGTACAAATAGAAAATGAAATCGCTTAGCCAATCATTCCTCATGTCATATCATTCCAACCAATACCACAGATCATTGGAACAGAAGAGGCTGTCATATTACATACAAAGAAAAGGAAGATGCAGTGGGGAAGAGAAGTCACAGGAACAGAGTCACAGAAATGAGTAGTGGGCCTTAATTACTACTCAATGTTCATTGCTTATTATTATAGCACAGTTATATAGGGATGAAGAACAAGTAAGGGACATTATGTTAAAGTATTGAGGATTGTTAGCTGGTGCTTAGTTGGAATATGTAACTAATATTTAGAATTGTTCGTTGATGCTTATTGGAATACAAAATTTGAGCAAAATTTTTCAAGCACCAAAACACAAATAATAGCAGAACAAACCTAAAGAAAAAAATTGCCTTGTGGTCTGATTAGAAAAGCACATGGGTTAAAATCCTGGGGCTTGGGCACCTGGCTGGTTCAGTTAGTTGGTGGACCATGCCACTCTTGATTTAGGGTCCTGAGTTTGAGCTCCACGTTGCAGGTGGAGTTTACTTTAAAAATATATATTGGAACTTCACTGTTAGCAGGTCCTTTAAAAGTTCACTAGTCCAACTTTTGCAGGATTCTCTTCTTTGATATGATATCCATGACAAAGACTCTTCTATCTTCTCTTTTGAACCTCCCAAGGCAGGGAGCTCACTAGTTCCCCGAAAGAAGCCTGTTATTTCACTGTTGAAAGCTTTGATTGTTGGGAGTACAGTCTGACTTCTTACAGTTTCACTTGTAGGTTCTCTAATTATTACCCCAAAGCAACAGTTAAAAAGCCTGCACTATCTTCTATAAAAAGGCCCTTCAAACATATTCATATATCAATGTGCAGATTCAAACAACAGTTCAAAGGACATACAGGAGGAATAAGTCCCTAGAACAACATTCACAAGAGGTCGTGTAAGTCATCCCAGAGGAAGCAAAAACATTCAATTCAGAATTACTGGCTTAAAATATCATAAGCATTACTAATAAAAGTAATCTCAGTTAAAGAATTTTAAATTTTTTCAACATCAGTCTTTTAAGTCAGTCTTTCAAGTGGCATCTTTATGATTTTGCCATACCTGTAATAATGACTACACTTTAACAATGCTTTCCTTTAACTCATTTCTTACGTTAAATGAAGTATTTTAAGAGGAAGCTTCATGCTCTTGCTGTAAGTGGAAAATCATGATCTATTTGTCATATACAAACTAACATTAAAAATATGGAAACCAACTTGACAATAAACTATGAAACAAATAAATACATACATACATACATATATACATAACTTTACTGTACAAACTATTATCATGTCACATACCAATGGTGGTATGCATTTCACCCTATGGGGAGAAATGGTTTAAAACATCTACTATCAACTTTTTCTTGGAAACATATTAAAGAATGATGAACTTCTTAAAGCATCCTATAGAGCATCCCAGGTGAAAGGCTTTTGAAGGGAAAAAAGTGAAAATCAGTTGGAATCAAAAAGATTCTGACTCTGCCACTTACTAGTTGTACATCCTTATCCTCCTTAAGCCCCAACTTTCTACATCTATAAAACAAGGATAAAAAGAGAAGCTACTTGGTGGGGTGTTATAGAAATTAAATGAAATCATGCAATGCTAGATACCAACTGAGCCACAATGCATGCTGGCCACTAAGAGTGCTATTAGACCTATTGCTATTATTTCTGCAGTTTGAGAAAATCTCAAACATTATCCATCTCCACATAGACCTTTTTAGGCCTATGGCCTTTTATGGCCTAGAAATCAAGGTCTTGTTTCTTTTAATTTTTTTACATTTATTTATTTTTGAGAGACAGAGAGAGACAGTGCATGAGTGGGGGAGGGGCAGAGAGAGAGGGAGACACAGAATCCCAAGCACAGGGCCCCACATGGGGCTCAAACCCACAAACAGTGAGATCATGACTTGAGCTGAAGTCGGACACTCAAACTACTGAGCCACCCAGGTGCCCCGAAACCAAGGTCTTTAAAGCTACTGTATTACATCAGTAAATACAAAATATATTAACATGTTTACTTTCTAGGGTAAAAATTACATTTCTGAGACTACTTGGAATGGCCATAATACTTCAAAATCCAGGGGCACCTGGATGGCTCAGGTGGTTAAGCGTTCGACTTGGGCTCAGGTCATGATCTCACGGTTTGTGGGTTTGAGCTCCGCGTCGGGCTCTGTGCTGACAGCTTGGAGCCTGGAGCCTGCTTCGGACTCTGTGTCTCCCCACCTCTCTGTCCCTCCCATGCTCAGGCTCTGTCTCTCTCTGTCTCTCAATAATAAATAAAACATTAAAAAAAAAAAAGCAGAGAAGTATAGTTGTGTTTTATGAAATCTATGAAATCCCAAATCTAGCACTTGCATCAATGAGAGCTACATCTAAAATATGACACATTCATACTTATGTGGTTCATAAACCCTCTAAATTAATTTAAAGAATTTTATAGTAAAACACTTACAAATTTAATTTTGTAAAGCTCTCTTGTGCGTTATGCTTTTCTCGCTCATATGCACTTTCAACTTCTTTGAATTCATTCTTGATCATTTCCAAGTCAGCAACAGCTTCTGCTTGGCTGGCCTTTTCTACCTGTAAAGCTCCTTCAAGGTCTCGAATTCGTAACTACCAAATGACAGAGAAGTAGTAAAGCAAGGAAGGAAACACTGAAGTCAGTCAAATTGAACAGCGTAATTTATCAGGAGCAGATCATCATTTATCTAAACTCTAACTTCTCCCTTTATGTTTTGGTTTTAAAATGAAAATAAACAGAAGACAATATATTCCCTTTCTCAACATGTTTAATGGAAGGAAGAGTGGAAAAAGGCTTAACTGTGCTATGGAAATGCTTAATCCAAGTGCCTAATTTCTACCTACTAATCCGCATTCAAAACTTTTTATAAAACACAATAAAATGAGTGGTTTTTGAAAACAAAAGGGAAGAATTCTTCCCCTCTTGTGAGAAATATCATTACATTAATATCTGTAGAATCCCAAGAAAGTTTTATTCCTAGAGATTTGTTACCATAGACTAGTAAAACTTTTATTACCAAATAATACTATTTGACTAAAATATTTGTAAGCATAGGATATCTAGGATGTGCCTCAAAATGATACAGGGATGGGAGTAGATGGGGGCAATCAATAAAAAACATGATTGGCCTGAGGTAAATCCTGAGTGATAGCTACACGAGAAGCTGACTTTACCATTCTCTCTACTTCTGCATATACTTGAAACTTTACACAATACAAGACTTTAAAAATTTTTTATGTTTATTTATTTTTGACAAAGAGAGACACAGAGTGCAAACGGGGAGGGGCAGAGAGAGGGAGACACAGAATCCAAAACGCACTCCAGGCTCTGAGCTGTCAGCACAGAGCCCGATGTGGGGCCTGAACCCACAAACCGTGAGATCATGACCTGAGCCAAAGTCAGACGCTTAACCGACTGAGCCACCCAGGCGCCCCTCACAATAAAACCCTTTAAAAGCTGGATTCCATGTAAACACTGACAGAACAGAAAAACAAAGCAGTATTCCCAGAAAGGAAGAACATACAGCTGCAAAAAAGCTGCAAAAGAACTTTTGAGGGTTACCTGGGTGGCTCAGTCAGTTAAGCATCTGACTTCGGCTCCTTCACGATCTCCCAGTTCATGAGTTCGAGCCCCACATCAGGAGAGCTCGAGCCCTGCTTCGGGTGAGCCATGGTTCTCTATCTCTCTCCCTGCCCCTCGCTCATTTGTGCCCTCTCTCTCTCTCTCAAAAAAAAAAAAAAAAACTTTTGAAAAGGAGGTTCTCTCTTTGGTTCTCTATGAGTGTTAACATATATGGAAAAAGCAAAGTCCACATAAAGTCTGTATTTTGGGTAAACAAGTGAAAAAAATAAGAATAACTAACAAGCTATAGGTGGACCAAAGGGAGACACAGGAGTGAAAGCAAGAGTTCTCGACCATTCAATATTGTTTTGATTTTTGAACTATGTGGATGTTTTACCTTTTTCAGAAAATTAAGTTAAAAATAAAAAAAAAATCACTAAGGTTCAAAAAAAGGGAGTGGTAGATAGAAAATGGGCTTCAGAAACATAAAATTCTTGCTCTTCAAATTAACTTAGGCGACCTCTGGCCTATTATTAAAACTTAAAAAACCTAAGGTTCCTCATCTGTAAACAGTATATCATCATCATCATCATCATCATGATCATCATCATCACCACCATCATCTTCATAAACAGACTATCTACAGGGTTGCTACAATGATCTAATGAGATAATATTTATATAATATCAATATATACTTAATATCACATATGAATATACAGTATTTATTTACTAATTGTTTGGATATATATTATTAAGCACTTAGTATGTGTCAGGCAATAAGCTAGTGCTCAAGATATTATATGATAATCGTGAAAACAGACAGTCTTAATTCTTGAGGAGCTCCCAATCTTTAGGAGAGGAAAGACCACCAGAGAATATGGTAAGTGGCTCCTGTCACAAAGGGCCATGAAATCAAAGAAAAGCTCAGAATAAGCTCCTGTCACAAAGAGCTATGAAATCAAAGAAAAGCTCAGAACAAGCCTCTTGGGGATGGCAAAAGATCATCTGAGGTAAGAAAGATGAAGTCACCAAGAAATGAAGCCGAGGACAACATAAAAATGTTCTTAAAGAATATTAATCTATACCAAAAAAATCACCAGAATTATTATTTGTAATTATTCAAAACTATCTTCAAATAATTGAAACATTCTTACACTAACATAAGCAAATAGAATAGATATACAGATACAACTTGGTAAATTTTCAAATTTGGTCTTTAAACTTTTTCTTTTTTTTTTAATGCTCATTTACTTTTGAGAGAAAGAGACAGAGCACAAGCTATGGAGGGGCAGAGAGGGAGACACAGAACAAAGCAAGCTCTAGGCTCCAAGCTGTCAACACAGAGCCCAACATGGGGCTTGAACTTACAAACCACAAGATAGTGACCTGAGCCAAAGTCAGAGATTTAACTAACTGAGCCACCCAGGTGCCCCTAAACTTTATTTTTCTTTGCTATCTTATCTAAATCCAACGTTTGCAAGTAAAATAATAAAATTTTCTTCTATCTGCATTGCTATCTCCTTTCAGAAAATAAGCACCCTCGATCACAAATGATAAATCAATCCAACTAAAAGAGAAGTAGGTTTCAAATTAATAACTGAGTCAACTCTCTGACTCTACTTTCTCCTTTTATGACACAGCATCTAAACAAACTCAACTATAGTTTATGATAAAATGGTGATTAATTACAACTATTTAGCAGTCTCATTTACTTTTAAACTAATCTGAAGTTGAATTTTACTAGATGTACCTCAAGTATGACAATACTTGTCAATACTTACAGATGTATGGTTCAAATATAAACTTTGGCTTTTTTTCAGAGTCATAACACTAAGTTAAATATGAAATATTAATTTATATAAGTAAAAATATAAACATAATAACTTTTATTTTTATAGCTATTAACTATATATCCCTAGATATAAATTATAACTACAGTGAAAAAGTTCATTTTGAATTATACTTCTTTCATAATTTAAAACTTTAGCCTTATTGCTTATTGATGCCATTTTGGGTGATTTATTCATTTTTTTTAGAAAGCTTAACTTGTACAAGTTTACTTAAAACACATTTCCATAATGAATCAAACTAGCTCACTATGACTCCACGATGAAAACATGTGGGAAAAAAAAAAAAGTTTACTTAAAACACAAACACTCAAATAAATGAGCCTGAGAATTTTGCGGGTAAGGGGGCATTTATTAAAGATGAAAGTAAAAAAATAATTTATTATAAACTTCTTATGGGCTTAGTTACACCCTATATTAAGACCTGTTTAAAGAATAAGGTGAAACTTGGCAAGTTTTATTAATTAAAATTTAATGTAAGGGAAAAGTCTAAGTCTTAAAAAAAACCTAATTAAATTAAGGAACTTAGGGGCACCTGGCTCAGACAGTACAGCATGTGACTATTGATCTCAGGGTTGTGAGTTCAAGCCCCACTTTGGGTGCAGAGCCTACTTTAAAAACATTAAATTAAAGGACTTAGATTTCTGGAACTTTATGTGAAACTTGATTTATACACAACATAGGCTATGGGCCAGGCTTGGTCCGTGCACAGTTTTTTGCCAACCCCCGGTTAGAATGCCTTCACTTCTCTTAGAAATTCCTTCTTGTTCTAAGACCTAAAGGACACCTTCCCTTAGGATGCCTTCAATTAATTCCCCTCTCACATTTAATCTTATACGCCCCGTAGTATTTTAGTATTTCATATTTCTATCCACACATCTACCTGTGTATCTGTATAAATGTAGATGTATAGATATAAATATACAGTATTTCTGGTAATGGAATGTAAGTTCCAAAAGGAGTTCCTTCATGTTAATACCTTTTAGCTTTTTTTTTTTTTTTTAATGTTTATTTACTTGGGGGGAATTAGTGGAGGAAGGACAGAGAGAGAGGCGTACAGAGAATCCAAAGCTGCGCTAACAGCAGAGAGTCTGATACCAGGCTTGAATTCACGAGCCATGAGATCAAGACCTGAATTAAAGTCATCCAGGTGCCCTGCCTTCACCTCTTAATACAGCGATAAGCAATGTATATCCTGTGTATTAATGTGTATATCTTGTGTATTAATGTGCACAGGATATACACACAGTAAATGAAGGTGCATATTTTTTAAGTGTTTTCAAGAAGAAATTCATCCCATGGCTGTTGATAAAAAGAATACTCTGATCAGCAAATCTTCCTGTAATGGGCCAGGTGGCAAATATGTTGGACTTTGCAGCCCATAAGGTCTGTCACAGCCACCCACCTTGCACTGCAGTACAGAACTCCACAGACAAGACAAAATCTCCCTTGAACAGGCAAGGAGTGAGATTTGGCCTGTGGGCTGTAGTGTGTCCACCCCTCCTCAAATACAGTGAAAACTATCCTCAACTACATCCTGATACATATAGAATATTGAGTATATGCAACAATATGCTACCCAATGTAAAACACACACCTTAGTTCTCTGAACAGAATCCCGCTCTCCCCAACTTAATAAAATCCATACAAAAAATTTTTGTTTCTGCTTTACCTGGATAATTTCAGCATTAAATTTTGATTCCAAATGTGCTGCTCTTTCTGCTTCAATATTTTCTTCTAATTTCCTCACTCTTAGAGTAGTTGCCTGAAAATAAATTCAGAGTTTAAACTCACAGACATTGGTATTTAACGTGGACAAGGATCTTTGCAACAACATGGATGGAGCTATAATGCTAAGCAAAATAAGTCACTTAGAGAAAGACAAATACCATATGATTTCACTCACATGTGGAATTTAAGAAACAAAACAAACGGACAAAAGGAAAACAAAAGAGAGACAAACCAAAACACAGATTTAACTACAGAGGGTAAACAGATGGTTGGTCACCAGAGAGGAAGTGGGTGAGGGGAGGTGGGGGGCGGGGGGAAGAGATGGATGAAATAGGTGAAGGGAATTAAGAGTACACTCATCATGATGAGCACCGAGTAATGTATAAAATTATGGAATCACAATGTTGTACATCTGAAACTAATATAACACTGTATGTTAACTATACTGGAATCAAAATTTAAAACTTTTTTTAAGGGGATATAAATCACACTTTAGATAACTGTAGCCTCATTTTTTCCTGCTTTTCCAAGATTGTAAAAGACATGGTAAAAAATCGTGTGAAAATTATGCTTGGGAAGAATACTCCAGACCTTGCTATGTTCTTCTTTTATACTGATGTATAATTTATATATAATAAATTACATGTATTAAAAGTGTGTAATTTGATAAGTGTATATACATACACCCATGAAAGCACTGCCATAATCAAGATAAATATTTCCACAACCCCTATAAGATTCCTTATGTCTCTTGTTAACTTCCTCCAGCCCTAACCACGCCGCCCCCACCCCCAAGTAACCACTGATCTGCTTCTGTCACTATCCACCACTTTGTATTTTCCAGAATTTCATAGAGATTGGGTCATACAGCAGGTATTCCATACTACCTGGCTTCTTTCTCCCAGCATAACTATTTTGAGCTTCACCATGTGTTGCATTTATCAATAGTTTATTCCTTTTTATTGTTAAACTGTGCCACTGTGTTGATACACCACAAATGACTTATCTGTTCACCAGTTTAGGTACATTTGAGTTGTTTCCAGTATAGGCAAGAACAAATGAAACCGTGAGCCTTTGCGCACACATCTTTATATGGGCATCTACTTTCATTTCTTGGGGTAAACAGTGAGGAGAAGAATGACAGGATCGTATGGTTGGTGTGTGTTTAATGTTTTATGAAACCCCCAAACATTCCAAATTGTTTATAATTTTATGCATCCTCAACCACACTTGGCATGGTCAGTTTCTGTTTTGTCATTTTCTGAGGGGAGGGGGATTTAAGACATTCCAATAGGCACGCAATGGTGTTCCATTTCAGTTTCAGTGTGCATTTCCCTAATGACTGATGACATTGAGCATCTTCTCACATATTTACTTACCACCTGTATATCTTCTTTGGTGAAATATCTGCTCAGATTTTTTTCCCCATTTTTTTAACTAGGTTGTTTTCTTATTATTGAGTTTTGAGAGTACACTATACAATCTGGATACAAGTCATTTACTGAATATGTGATTTGCAGAACATTTACTCCAAGTCTACAGCTTGTCTTTTCATTCTGTTAACAGCATCTTTCACAAAGCAAAACTTTTCAGGGCACCTGGGTAGCTCAGTTAGTTAAGCAACCGACTCTTGGTTTCAGTTTAGGTCATGATCTTGCAGTTCGTGAGTTGGAGTCTCATGCTGGGCTGTCAGCACAGAAACTATTTGCCATTCTCTTTCTCCCTCTCTGTCTCTCTCTCTCTCTCTCTCTGTCTCTCTCTCCCTCCCTCTCTCTCTCTCAAAATAAATAAAAATAAACTTTAAAAAACTAAAAGAGTTATTATTACTTTTTTAGGTGTAATAATAATTGGTTTTATAGCACTGGCTGGCTCAGTCAGTAGAGCACGCAACTCTTGATCTCAGAGTCATGAATTCAAGGCCCACATTGGGCACAAAGCTTCTTTTTTTTTAACTTTTTAATAATTGGTATTTTTTTAACTCCTATCTCTTTGAAATAGATACTAAAGTGTTCATGGATGAAATTATATAATGTCTGGATTTCCTTTAAAATAATAAAATGGGGTGGGGTGCCTGGGTTGCTGAGTCAGGTAAGTGACCAACTCATGGTTTTGGCTCAGGTCGTGATCTCACGGTTTGTGAATTTGAGCCCCGTGTTAGGCTCCACACTGACAGTGCTGGGATTCTCTATTTGTCTCTCTACCTCTCTCTAAATAAATAAATAAACAAACAAACTTTTAAAAATAATACTAATAATAATAAACTGGGGGTTATGAGGGAAAGTTGATAATCATGAAATAACGTTGGCCATTAGTTGACCATTCTAGAAGCTGAGTGATAGGCACATGAAGTTCATTTTAGTATTCTCTCGAATTTCATGTATGAATGAAATTTCCATACTGAGAAAGTTTTTAAAACAGCAACAAAAGCAAAGTAAGTATGGTGGGGAAGCATGGTGCTGATAACATTATCTACGAACAAAACTGTATTTTGACAACAAAAGATCATTAAAATGAATTAAGCCATTCATTCCTAACAAAAAAAAGTCAGTGGGAAGGCAGGAGTTTAAACCAGTCAATTCCTACCAATATTGTCGAAATAGTAAGACATATCAAAGCAAATATTCCTTTCATACTCACTACCACCTGTCTCAAAACATGTTTCACAACAAACATTAGTCCCATGGGATGCTATTAGCTATTATGTGAAAAAGCAATTTCACCATCATAAGTGAAAGACACAGAATTAAAGCCAAACAATTTTACAAAAGCACTTCTCGAAAAGTTAACATGACCTTGAAAAGGAAGAGCAAAGTTGGAAGACTCACATTTCCTGAATTCAAAACTACTACAAAGCTACAGTAATCAAAACAATGTGGAGCTGGTATAAGAACAGACCTATAGATCTACAGAAAAGAACTGAGAGTCCATAAATACACCCATGCATCAATGGTCAATTGATTTTTGACAAGAAGGCCAAGACCATTCTATAAAAAAGAATTTTTTTTTCATTAAGCAGTGCTGAGGCAATGGGATAGACACATTTAAAATAATAAATGTGGACCCCTACCTCACATCATATACAAAAATGAATTCAAATGGATCAATGCCCTAAATATAAGAACTAAAACCATAAAACTCTTAGAAGAAAACATAGAATTCAAGACCTCAGATTTGGCAACAGATTCTGAAATACAATACCAAAAGCATGAGTAACAAAAGAAAAATAATAAATTGGACTTCATAAAAATTTTAAATTTTGAGCATCAAAAGACATTATTAAAAAGTGAAAGGCAACCTGGAGGACAGAAGATATTTACAAATCATGTATCTGTTAATAGTCTTATAAGCAGGGGCCGCCTGGGTGGCTCAGTCAGTTAAGCACCCGACTTGGGCTCAGGTCATAATCTCACAGTTTGTGGGTTCGAGTCCCGTGTCGGGTTCTGTGCTGACAGCTCAGAGCCTGGAGCCTGCTTCAAATTCTATGACTCCCTCTCTCTCTGACCCTCCCCTGCTCACGCTGGCTCTCTCTCTCTCAGAAATAAATAAAACATTTTAAAAATGTAATTAAAGAGTCTTGTAAACAGGGGCGCCTGGGTGGCTTAGTTGGTTGAGCGTCCGACTTTCGCTTGGGTCATGATCTCGCAGTTGGTGGGTTGGAGCCCCACGTCGGGCTCTATGCTGACTGCCAGCTCAGAGCCTGGAGCCCATTTCAGAGTCTGTATCTCCCTCTCTCTCTGACACTCCCCTGCTCACGCTGTCTCTCTCTCTCTCTCTTTCTCCTAAAAATAAATAAAAATATTTTTTTTAAAAAAAGAGTCTTCTAAACAGAATATACAAAGAACTGTCACAATAAAAAGACAAACAATACAGTTAAAAAAATTAGTAAAGGGCTTGAATAGACATTTCCCCAAAAGATATGAAAATGGCCAGTAAGCATATCAAATTATGGCCAACATTATTAGTCATTAGGGAAATACACATCCAAATCACAGAGAGATATATCCTCATGCACACAAGGCTAGCTGTAATTTTTAAAGTGGAAAAAAACAAGCATTGGTGAGGATGTAGAGACATTAGAAACCTCATGAATTACCATTGGGAATGTGAACTGGTGTCACCACTATGGAAAATGGCTTCTCAGTTTCTTAAAAAGTTAAACAGAGTCACCATTATTATCCAGCATTTCCATTCCTGGGTATATATCCCAGAGAAATTAAAACATCTTCAAACAAAAACTTGTACACAAATGTTCATATCAGCATTTTTCATAACTGCCAAAAGGTAGAAACAATTCATATGTCCATCAACTGATGAATGGTAAACAAAATATGATGTATCCCTATAAAGGAATATTATTCAGCCAAAAAATTAATTAATTTTTGCTACATTAATTAATTAATGCTACAATGTATAGAAACCTTGAAAATGTTAAATGAAAGAAACCAGACACAAAGAGACCATGTATTGTATGACTTCATTTATATGAAATTTCCAGAACAGGCAAATCCATAGGGATAGAAAGTGTGTTAGGTGGTTGCCAGTAGCTAGGGAGGGAAGGAGGAACGAGCAGTGATTGCTAATGGACATGAAATGGTGAGAATGTTCTGGAATTAGAGAGTGCACAACTTTGTGAATATACTAAAAACTAATTGTATACTTTAAAAGGATGAATGTTATGTGAAATGTATCTCAACAAAAAATAAAAAGAATCCTGAGTGTAAGAACCAAAGACAACATCAAAGAAGTGACACCCACCTAAGTCAAGCTTCATAATTTCTGAAAAATGTTCCCTCTAAATGCTGACTTTGATCCTTAGAACAAGGCAGCCTCATTGGTTTTAGGTATAAAGGATGATATATACAAAGCAGAAAAAGTCTTATATTTGGCCAGATTAAAATGAGCATTACTCTAGGTAGTCCCAATCCTAGTTTTAATTTTTTTTCTTTAATTTTCTTAATATTTTACTTATTTTTTTAATGTTTTATTTATTTCTAGGAGAGAGAGAGAGAGAGACAGCGTGAGCAGGGGAGGGTC